TAGTTATAATCTGATATCCTGGGGTGGATACATGTAAGTGTGAACCTAGTTATAATCTGATATCCTGGGGTGGATACATGCAAGTGTGAACCTAGTTATAATCTGATATCTTGGGATGGATACATGTAAGTGTGAACCTAGTTATAATCTGATATCCTGGGATGGTCACATGTAAGTGTGAACATAGCTCTGGTCTGATAACCTAGGATGGATACATGCAAGTGTGAACCTAGTTATAATCTGATATCTTGGGGTGGATATTTGTACTTGTGAACATAGTTATGGTCTGATATCCTGAGATAGATTCATGGAAGTGTGAACATAGTTATGGTCTGATATCCTGAGATAGATTCATGGAAGTGTGAACATAGTTATGGTCTGATATCCTGAGATGGATTCATGGAAGTGTGAACATAGTTATGGTCTTGATTACCTATGAGAGATACATGCAAGTGTGAACAAAGCTCTGTACTGATAACCTGGGTTGGACACATGTAGGTGTGAACATAGTCAAATACTTTATATTTGTATTATTTCAGACTCATCCATCACAGACAGCATTTTTATCCAGTATTGACTTACACACCCATTGTGGTTACCAGCTGATGATGCCAGAAGCTATTGCAATAGTGTGTGCTCCAAAACACCAAGAGTAAGTCCAGTGTAATCTTGTCATCACTGCAGAATAATTCATTATAATATCTTGCCAAGAACGGTGGGCCTCCAATAAATACAAATGTTCATGTGCTGCATTTGCCTCGGATCCCCATGCACGTTCCAAATCTGCTTAAGCATACAATCTTTTGTACCAGGTATACATTGTCGTATACGTTGCATGGGATCTGTATTGATCATGACACATAACATGACCATCACCCTTTAATGGAATCACACATTAATCTTTGCATTGACACTTTGCAATTTGATTTTGAGTGCACTCATCTTCTGAATACAACCCACGAAATAGCACTAATGTTTGTCACAACAGATGAAAACAATGCAACACTTCCAAAAAGAGTATTCTACTTCCATAATTCTAATAGACCTTTGATGCAAATAGCTGCCGAGATCTCGTCAAGAGCAAGCATACTGTGAAACCAGTTATTGTCCCCCAAAGAGTGTTGCATTCTCTCTCATCATCGCATCCATGTGACCATGATGGTAATTATTCTCTCTCATCATCGCATCCACTATTACCCTGGCCTATGTAACCATGATGGTATTTATTCTCTCATCATCACATCT